AGCACCTCTAGTAATATATTTACTGAGAAAAATGGTGACGTGTTCAATACTTATTTTACCCGCTGTATATATATAAATTTACTTAGTCAGTTGAACCGTATGAGAGTTTGGATATAGATTGTTCTACTCATGTAATGTGGATCAGACAGAAGAGCATTTCATTCACCGAAGGGGAAAAATACTCCTCATCCCGTAACAAGATCTGGATCTCATAATTATAAGGGAACATCTGCCTAAAATGTTCTCATGTCGCCTTCTCCTGTTGCTGCTGCTGCTGCTGCACTTTAACTTAAAATAATAATAATTCATCCATCATCTAGACYTACTTCTTCCTTTCAGGGTTACTGGTGCCCATATCCAGCAGTCAATGTGTGAGGGGCGGGGTACACCCTGGACAGGTCACTAGTCCATCATAGGAACACATAGAGACAAACAACCACTCAGTCTCACTCACACCTAGGGTCAACTTAGAGTTATCAATTAACCTAACAGTCATGTTTTTTGTCTGTGGGAGGAAACTGGAGTGCCCGGAGAAAACGCACGCATGCACGGAGAGAACATGCAAACTCCACCCTGAAAGGTCCTCGGGCCAGGATTCAATCCAGCAACCTTATTGCTGAGAGGCATTAGTTCCACCGACTGAGCCAGCAATAATAATAATAATAAAAACCTAAAATGTGTTCCTCTGGGTGTCTCTTTTTAAACAATATCATTTCTGCAGCRTTTTGTTGCCTCTGGGTAAACTTATTTTTGGATGTGTTGCTGCCATGAAATTCAAAATTATTCACGTTTTTCCTTAAAAATAAAAACTACAATTTCTCAATTTCAACATTTGAAACATTTCTTGAGTTCCAGAATAGATTCAGATTATCTTTATTGTCATTCAAACATAACACCAGGGATGCACTGTAGAACAAAATTACGATGCATATTAGCACACAATTAAATTTGTGATCAATGCACAAGACATAAACAGCTTGACAAGCTCAGGGGCGGGGCATGCCCCACCAGTGGCTCCCCCAGTTTTATTCTCATGAGTACCCAGGTTTTTCCTTTTTCAATTCCCCTGCCTATTTAGGAATAGAACCTCATAAATATAGAAAAAAACATTGATTTTTTAACAAGAGTTAAAAAC